CGCCAATGGTGCGGCTAGCAGTGTTGAAAAAGCGCAAGGGAAGAAGAGATAATATGTTCCGGCTGGCTTGTCAAGGCGGATCAGCTCGGCATAGGGCATCCACGACTTGGGGAGCAGCGCAATGAAACCCGTCGTTGGCGGGGTGTAAATTGCATTTGGTAATTGGGAAGACGGAGAGGGCTTCAGTGGAAGAGAAGACGGGGAGGGAAGTGTTCGTGGTGACGAGCTTATGTGTCTCGTAGTTAGCAACCTTGTTTTTTTTCCTTTTGTGATCTGGAGATCGATTGTGATTTTCTGGTTCGTCTGTCCTGTAGAGTGGGAGGAGCAACTTTGCAACTTGTGAGGCTGGAAAGCATGACACGGCCCGCATCGCAGCCTACTTTTCGTTTTGAACACGGGCACGAACTCTGGCAGAGAGCTCGGATATATAGGAAACTGGCGACCTGGGAGTATCCTCATTGTCGCAAAAGGGGATGATAGAAATAAAAAGAAAGTTTTCCAAGTCCGCACAATAACATAAATCTGTGCCAATTCCAACTGTATGTTTGAGCGCAAACTGAAATTCCCCAAGGACAATTAATTAGTTACCGTGCAGGCTAGCAGCCATGTACACAGGCAATAGTTATCGAATTGGGATTTCTCGATCGATTGCGACTACACACAATTACTCCGTACCGGTGATGAAAGCCCCGAGGCCTACAAGGTCCCCTCCAGAGATTCCGCACACCGAGTAAACTTCCCGGCAGCATTTCTACTTTTTCCAAAGACCCTTTTCCCAGATCACATGACGAGATTCCTTGAAGCAAGCGATGGACCTTGTCATAGCTGAAAACCAACATCTCAACGACTGCGAGAACTAACCACCGCTGTCGGGAGGACTATCACAGCTCTTTCTGCTTCTCCTCCAAGGCCGGGTTCATCAGCCTCATGTCCCGATCAGATCGGGTTTGGTCCCTCCCCCCCCTCTCGCACGACGCGTGTTTGTTGCCTAGTTAACTACCTCGCTTTCTGCGAATCGCGGACCTGTTGCTTCGTTCGGCCACCCACGCTGGGATAATTTCTGATGCAGCCTCGTCTTGCTAAAGCCGACCTTTTGATCGAAGAACATCTTTTCGAACTTTGATGCGTCGCTGACAGCTCAATATCTCGCCCGTCATCGCCAATAGCTATGCCAAGTCCCAGTCATCCACGCGCGGCTTTCGAGCCCATTTCCCCAGACCTCGACCTTGCGGCGCTGGTTGAATCAACACCAAACTTCGAGTACGTTGTCAGAATTCATTGCGATGCGATCGCCGAACAGGGAATTGAGAATTTTGAAAAATTGGTTCTTCTACATGTCATCCTGGGGGGAAAGCCGTTGGTCATTGAAGGATACCAGGATAGGCTTCAGAAATGGATTTTTGGGCTTCAGTGGTTAAAAGACAACCATGGCACTAAAGGTATGTTCAAAGTTCCCCCATTTCCGGACATTTTATGGTTTTTCTCACTATTCAATCCGCTTGACAGTTGAGAATGGGAGAAACCTGACCACCAAAACGAATATACCCCTTTCGATAAACCACTACCTGAAAAACATGGCGATGCTCACGAACCAATGGAATGCGACAAACTACAAGGATACCATGCGCCAACGAATTTACCTGAAGGATATCGATTGCCCCCCTGTTTGGCATGATAAGCTGAAAGATTTGCTTCCTCCGTTTCTATACTACTTCAACGAACGCACAAGCGATAAAGCGAGCAAAGCCGGGGATTTGATGAGCAGCCTGTCTCGCGAAATGAGAGCTGACAATATGATGTGCTACATTGGGCATGAGGGCACCTACACCCCCGCGCATCGCGAAATGTGTGCAACTCTAGGTCATAATATCATGGTGGAAACTTCCACCGGCTCAGTGGAGGATGGTCAGCCTACTAAGCCTGGTTCCTCAATTTGGTTCATGACGGAAACCAAGGATCGACATTTGGTTTCTGAATATTGGCTTTCGACACTCGGTCATGATATAGAGATTGAAAACCACTTTGCTCAGATTAATGCTTGGAAAGCTGCACCATTCAAAACTTACATTGTTGAGCAAAGGGTGGGTGATTTTATTCTAATTCCTCCTCTTGCCCCGCATCAAGTTTGGAATAGGGGAACCCGGACCATGAAAGTCGCCTGGAACAGAACTACTGTTGAGACCTTGGAAATGGCAATAAACGAGGCTCTTCCAAAAGCAAGAATGGTTTGTCGCGATGAGCAGTATAAAAACAAGGCAATTATTTATTTTTCATTGCTAAAATATTCTGCGCTTCTTAATAACAGTGACGGACTTTTCAATCACCACATCCGCCAACTCCAAAAGGATTTCCGGCGTTTGTTTTCACTTTACACTAGAATTCTCCTGTCGGAAAGCTTTTCAAGGGATGTGTCAGAGCCCAAAAATGTGGAATATCTCCCCTTCGCCAGTAATGTCACATGCTCCTATTGCAGATGCAACATCTTCAATCGATTTTTGACCTGCCCTTCATGCGTTGGAAAGCTCCCTGATGGCGATGATGACACCTATGATATTTGTATGGAGTGCTATTCCATTGGCAGAAGTTGTGCTTGCATCTCCAAGCTTCAATGGGTTGAGCAGTTCCGATGGAAAGACCTCGTGCGAAATTATGAGACCTGGAGGAGTCAAATTCTTAAATTTGATAAACAGAGTGATCCATCCCAGCTTCCACAGACACTTTCTATCGAGCAAGAAAATATGGGTAAAAAGACACTTGCCGAGATATGCCAAGATGAACTTAAACGAAGGCCATGGACGGATATTACCAAGCCGTACGTCCGTGAAGAGGAAGAACAGGAAGAAGTTGAAATTGATGATGGGCATGTTCGGAAGCGGCGCAAGATTCGAAGGTCAGAAAAGTGGAAAAAGGAGCATAAAAGTTGCCACATCTGCAAAACCCCTGAGGCGCACTGGAAAGTGGCGTGTTGTTCCAAGTGTGGATTGGGCTACTGCTATGGCAGCCTTTTTAGAGCTTTTGAGATTTGCCCCCGAACTGTCATGGAGAATCCGAACTGGACATGCCCAAAATGTCTCAAGATCTGCTCTTGCGGTGCATGTCGCCGTGATCCTACGATGAAGCCTTTTGAGCCTTCAGGAACTTTACTTGGTCATGACACTCGGAAAATTGCTGATCCAAGAAGTGTTGAATGCCTTGTTGACTTCAGTCAATCAAACCTGACCTGGCTGAAAAAGGTGGGTGATCGCCCACGGAGGTTTAACAAAAAATTGGATGAAGCCGAAACTGCTAAGTCTCATGATGTGACACTGGATGAGCAACATTACGTGGACCCCGTTGAAGCAGGGATTCTTAGATTGGCTAGACATGAAAACATCCCAGTGGACCCTGCTCTGGTGAGCAACTTCATTGAGTCTTCAGGGTCACTCCCTGTTGATCCAGCTATGATGTCGGGAGAGGTTGCGGTCGCTCACACCCACCCTCAATTCGCTATGCCTGACAATGCATTGTTCCAAGAAGATATGTCTGATCGCTATGAAGCGACAGAGGCTATAACTTTTGAATATCCAGATCCAGATGTCACATCTCCCGAGGCATCACAAACCCAGGGAGTCACGGCTATGGCAAGCACCAACGTTCAAGGCAATGGAACAGCCCAACAGCTAGATCCAAATATTTACCCAGGGTTTGGTACAGATGACATAGTGGACCCCACCAATGATACAATCGTACAATCGGACATGGCGTCCGCCAATTCAATCAAAGTTACCAGTCGAGTTGTCCATGAGAAGATTGGTTCTGCCAACGATGATGAGGATTTCATATTACGAAAGCAGAGCCATCGCAAACAATCAGGGGGCAGACCAAAGGGAAAGTCTGGTAGGAAACGAGGAAGTCATAGGATTTCATATGCGGAACTCAGCTCGAGCGAAGGGGATGTGCCGTCGGCAGAGCCCGAGAAACAGAGCTCCGTTGAGGTAAGACGAACTCGGAGACTTACCCGTCGAGTTTCTTCTAGGCGAGGCCATGAATCACCACCACCCGCTAGGGATTCCTCGGTTGAGGTGATACCACCGCAACCAAAACCTGAACCAGAGGCTGAACCCGATCTCGAACCCGAACCCGAACGAAGCCGTCTTTCGAGAAGTTACTCTCATACTGCCGTTGAAGAGCCTTCAAGACAACCAAAGCCATTGCCAACAACCGCCAAGCGCGGCAGGAAGTCCCCCGCTGCACTTACTACCTCCACTCAACCCATACCAAAACCACCAGCTGCGCAGCCCGAAACCCAGCCACGACCTATGACTGAGGCGGAAATAAATCGCCAAGCAAAGATGATGGCTATGCGCTGGGCTGAAGGGCATAATAGTGATGGTTATGTTAGTGATGGATGGAGTTAAGTGGTGGTGGATACGTGAAAGAATGTTGACAGCGGGCGTCTTGAGAATCTGATGTTTCTCGTTTGGTGTCCTATCAATTCTAGTTTTGTAAATTTTCAGATTTTTTCGGCGAGGACCGGGTAATGAGATGGATCTTTTGAACGGGTGAATCTTCTTTTAAATTATGCTTCAGTTACTATTCCATGTGCTACCACCTTTCCAGTTCTTCCTCATTACCGTGTCGAAACACATCTGCTTTTCTATGAATACTTTTATTTTCTAACTAGGAAAGGTAGTTACGTTATGATGTGTGCGTTTCGTCAACTTGGCAGATGGAGACTGGTGGTAGTTGACCTTATAAAAGAATGAAATTTATTTCTCATCGTAATGAAGGTCCTCCCCCTTTTTAAAGCCGCATATTGCCGACTGACAATTTTTATGCAATGACCTGCCTACCGCAGAAAGCCACTTTGCTTCACCTAGAGCCTCTAGTTTCTTAATAAGAAGAGAAAAGAAGAGGTAACAAAAGGCTCAGGTAACGCTGATAGATCCATACCGTCCCCCTGCGATTTTAAAGGCATTGAACCCCGTGCCCGCTAAAGCCAACAACGAACAAAAGGCGAAATGGCAGACGATCCAACGGGTGAGAGGAGAGAGATGACTTGTCATACCAGGACTCTCACTCTCGCTGCCTGGCACGCCGAGGGATGGTATGTGAAGTTAACTTGGTCACTTGGGAAGACCCAGCCCCATATTTCCGGCTCAATGTGGGTGAGGCTGGATCCGTTCGGTGAGTTAGGATTGAGCCTGTTCGTCGATCCGTACTGTACGAGTCGCCAACCGTCGTTGAAACAACAGGGTAAATAATTGAAATGCGGAAACAACGGACGAATACTGCAGGTGGCGTACGTAAAGATTCCTGTCTTTTTTTGGCGTCTTTATTTGAATCGCCAAGTTTGAGCTTTATCGATCTTCGAGTTGGCCGAACACGCCAGATGAACGCAAATGCTGGCCGCGAACCAAAGGCGCTGATTACGGTCCGATTAACCCCGCTCCCACGCTCGCCAGAGAGTGTAGTGATGGATGCAGTGGCGGTGATGGCCGGGTCACTCTATATACGCAAGCGTAGCCAAGCTTGTGAATTGGGAAGGTTGAGTGTTGTAGGCAATGGCAGACCTTTGGTACGGGTCCTGCCTGAGCATGTGGAGTAGCAAGGCAATATAATAATACAGTGTGAGCCGACCACTTAAGGGCGACGCAGATCCACCGTTCTCAAATGGAGACGGACGCAAATTGCTAAGCTATTTAATCTCAGATATCCTTTGGTTTTGGACCGAGTGGTAGCATACAATGAGAAGACAGTAACATGGTTGACATATCTATCCATTGTGCGGACGAGAGCCGCCGGAAGACCTATAGCCAAAGCAAAAAGCTCTGCTCGGTTCCGTGACCGCTTCTGATCGTTGCATCCGTGCAAGGCTAATTATGTCTAAAGGAAACGACTCCCAGAGAACAAGTTGTGATTTAAGCACCTTTATATTCGTATCGCAGACCCTCCAGTTCTTTGATATCGACTGATAGCATGATATTTCTAGAAACCCAGACAAGGAGAAAGACAACTATTGATTTGGCCTTGTCAGAAGCCAGCCCACGTCTAACTTTTTAAATGATTTCAGGGAGGGGTGAAAACTTACTTCCGGGAACAAGGCAGAAGATCCAGAACATATCTTCAGCATAAGGCTGGCTTTGGAGGACATATGCAGTGACAGAGAGAACAGCACAGATGAAAGTATTTGCAGGAGAAAGATACTGCCTGACTATGAGTGGGCCCTGTTCAGCTTCAATGTCCCTTAAGGGACGTTTGCCCTTGCGATCAGTCCGTTCTATGCGGAGGTATCTCATGATGTAAGCTGTGGAGAACAGCGACGCAATGCTGAGGAGACAAAGAAACCTCCGGGACGCTGTAGATGATGAGGATATGAAGGAGGGGAGGTATAGAAGAGTCGAAACCAGGGGTATAGTGGTGAAAATGAGCTACACAGAAATGCTGTTAATCTGGCATATCCATTTGTCTCTTCTTCGATGGTAGATACATACTGTATACTGAGTATTGCGCTCTTCGTCCTGGCGCAGCAACTTTTGAATGACAGCTTCTTGCTCTAAATTTACATACAATAGTTAATGAGTAAGTATACCGTCTAGCTATGCATTAAGATCCCTAGAAGGTGTCAAAATAGCTTGTAAATTTCTGGATAATGGAAACGCCGATTTACCCTCCTCATCCAGCTCTTCCCTGGTCTCGTTCTCGCTCTCTGAATCTGGATAGCGGAATGTTCTTCGTAGATTTAGGGCAGCCATGCTTGCGATGAATGGTGTAATATGCTAATTAGCGACCTAATATATAGGGAAGCGAGATCAACGAGACAATAAACAAACATACCAAGGGCAGAGCCAGCCGACTCATATTTTGAATCGATCTTGTTCTTCATGCTTGGGCTTTGACGTGGGAAGTCATGTGACTCTAGGCCCATATTTTTGATCAAGCAACGATTTTGATGATATTGAATTCAAGGCTTGGATAGCAAGGGGAGCCGCAAAACTCAGCTCTCTAAGAAGTCCGAAACTCGCCGTCAAGCATGAATACCCTCCGAGCGGTTGGCCTTTTACGTCGCAGCCATGCTTCAACCACCGTGCCCCTCCTCCGCCGCACCCTCATCTCCGCCCCAGGCCCGCATACAGGCCCCCTCCTCAGTCGACGAGCAGATCGCGAGCTCCCCTCGATAAATGCGAACCGCAGATGGCTCCGCACTCTTCCAATCTTCGCGGTCATAATCGGCGCCTCCATGCTGGGCATCCTCAATTACCAGAAATCCTCGTCGAGCGTGGTGAGCAGCATGCTCTATGCGCTGCGGACGTCCCCGAAGGGAAGAGAGCTGCTGGGCGATGAGATATACTTTGCGCAGAATATTCCGTGGATTAGTGGGGAGATTAATCAGTTGCATGGGCGGATTGATATTTCGTTTTGGGTGAAGGGAACGAGGGGGAAGGGGAAGATGAGGTTTAGAAGTAGAAGGGATAGGAGGATGGGTTTTGTAAGTGCAATTTTCTATTGATGCTCTTCTTTTTTTGTTTATGATTTTGCCGATGTTTAGGCGATTTTTTTTTTTTTTTTGCTGATTCTTGACGGCTTTAGTTCCAAACTGAGGAGTGGAGCCTTGCTTTGGAGGATGGAACGGTGGTTCAGTTACTTGATGCTGCACAGGGAGATCCCTTTCAAGCTGCCCTGTCCGGCGATGATGCTGCCAGTTGACGTGAAAACGTCGATATGAGAGGAATGTGTACGTTATCATAGGGGCATGCACGCCCCTTTGCTTCATCGCGTGGAGTTCAGGCGTTCTACTACGCAATGGGAGGGAGGTGTGTTTTAATATGTGTTCTGTACAATATAGCATTGGGGTTACTGGAAACAACTCAACTACGGGTATTGGGGGCCTGGACTATTCAGAGAAACGGAGGAAATTAGTGAAGATTGGAAAAGGTCAAACCCGGTTCGATCTATTTGTACGCTGGAAACAAAATGTCTTCCACGTTTTATGCAACAATACACATAAGGAGTAAACATCCAAAAACACCGGCAACCTCTCAACTCTCCATCTTCAGCGCAATTTTCGGCCATGGTTTTTTAAGAGCATCCTGCAGTTTCACAATGCAGCCCTTGGGACCACTTACACTCCCTATAAAAGTAATACACGTTAGTAGACGCTCGAGAGTGAGAGGAAGACTTTGAGAAGAAAGAAAAAAAATAAATAAATAATAATAATGTTAACCAACCATTAACAACCACAATCCCTTTCTCAGCATCGACCTTAAGCACCTTCAGATTCTGGAGAGTCACTTGTTCATTGCCCATATTACCCGCCATCTTCTTCCCCGGGTGAACACGAGAACCCCCTCCTTGACTGGGACCCGCGGAACCCAACGAACGATGCGCCAAACTGACACCGTGACTTCGATCTTGACCGTGGAAACCGTGTCTCTTCATGACACCTTCAAATCCCATTCCCCGACTATTCGATCGCGCATCGACGAACTGGCCTTCCTGGAACCAATCCGCATTTATCACTTCGCCGATAGGCAGCAGACCACTTTCATCCTTAACCCGGAACTCGTGGATATGTCTCTTAGGCGCAACGCCGTTGGCAGCAAAATGGCCTAACATGGGCCGAGTGACGGCGCGCTCATGTTTCCAGCCACAGCCCACCTGCACGGCGAAATAGCCATGTTTCTTGAGAGTTTTGTGTGAAATGACCTGGACCTGGTCGAGCTGGAGGATGGTGCAAGGGGTTCGTTTGCCGGTCTCTTGGTCGAAGATGGCGGTCATACCCTTTTTTACGGCCAGGACGCCGGTTCGTAGAGGGATAGTGGCTTCTTTCCGCTTATGGGCCACCGACGGGTGGGATGTGAGGATGGGCAGATGGGGTTCAACATCCAAACGGCTTGGTTTTGGCGGATACATGGACTTGATACCGAAGGCCCTGCGTGTCAGGACATTCTCGACGGAGAGACGGGTGGCGGTGGCGGTGGCAGCGGAGATTGAAAGCAGCGCATGCTTCCCTGGCAGCCGCGGGGGCATGGCTAAAGGCTGCTCGAGGCAAGTCAGTCGAAACAAGGAGAACAAGAGAGCAAATTGGCACGAACCCGAATCATGGCCCAGCGCCGGCCGGTTGCAACAATTCCGTTTTCAAGCCCTGGAACGCTTCTCAGCTGAAGGGCCCATCTCGAGATTTGAGCGTCGGGAGTGGAGTTGGGGGCAGAACACCCGCTATGCCGGTTGGGGGATAGCGCGGTCGCCGTTCTAACTCCAGCCATCCCGGGCATGTTTTTTGGAGTTTTTCTGACTTCGGTAAATTCTCTTGAAGAAAACGGGGAAGTTTGTATAGAACAGCAGCAGCAGCAGCAGCCTTCCCCTTGCTGACTTGCTGAGGAAAACAGCTGTTGTCTACGTCTACGATGAGAACGGGCTTGCTGCATAGTCCGATAGACCTCTACCCTCTTTGCTTGCCCGTCTTACCAGGTGGTTGGTTAAAGCAATCCTTGTCGACTCCTTCAAAAGGTCCCCCAAACCACCACCCATTTCCTGCCCAACATCTAATAATACTCGCCGAAATCTTCCCCTTCTCCCCTTCCCCATATACGACCGGATAATATAACAGGGGCTCCACTGGTCCCGGGCGAATCCACATATATACTAAGCCATTGGGCCTTGGAACTCCGCAAACATGCCTCCCCCTTCACGTTTCCTCCCGCGAGGTGCCATCAGACGACTCGCACGCCCCTTCTCAGCCGTCCAGTCCCTCCCCGTACGAGCAACAGGATTCCATCCCTGCTCTCTCTCAACTACCAAACCCCCTCAGACTCAGTCCTTCCACCAATGCGCCACCAACTTCAGGCCCCGAATAAACGCCACCCCTCTCCGCAGCAATGGTATCCATCCGATACTCCAATGGCGCAAGCCACGTTGCCTAAATTCCTCCTCCTCCTCTTCTTCTTCTTCAGAAAAACTCAGCTTCTCCCAACGGATGAAAAAGCTCTCCCGCGAATATGGCTGGTCCGCCCTGGGCGTCTACCTAGCCCTTTCGGCGCTGGATTTCCCCTTCTGCTTTGCTGCGGTGCGGCTGCTGGGTGCTGAACGGATTGGACATTACGAGCATGTAGTTGCAGAAGGGTTCAAGGGTGTATTTGCCCCTATCTGGCAAACTGTTGCGAAGCCGGATGCCAGCGGTGGTAGTGATAGTGATGCGGCAGATGGTGGAAAGTGGGGTGATATGGCCATTGCGATGGGCGGCGCCGGCGGTGCCGGCGGTACAGGTGAATGGGATGGACATGCAAGAGCAGCGGAGGCTGAGGGCCAGAATGTGGGGACGGGGACGGGGACGGAGACGGAGACGGAGGCCGGAGCTAGTATGTCATATCCCTCCCCCAACTCAGCCGTTGGTTTTATTTCTCTGTGTTCTCTCCATTTGGAGGAAGCCCAGTTGTATATTACTGATGGCAGGATTGACTAACGAACCCCGGATTTGATAATCAGGTTTATGGACGCAACTTGCCCTAGCCTATGCCGTTCACAAGAGCCTGATTTTTATCCGAGTCCCCATCACGGCCGCAGTGACACCCAAAGTCGTCAAGGTGCTGCGACAGTGGGGCTGGGATATTGGGAAGCGGAGGCCGAAAAGCAGTTGAAATTTGGGGTGGGGAAGAGTAACGAAATCTCTTCCTGGATAGCCCACTGCAATTGCTTTTCTCTTCTCCCTTTTTTTTTTTTGGGTGTCAAGGTGAACTTCAAATTCTGGGGGGACGTGGGGATTTTTTTTTTTTTCGCATATCATTCCCCTTTCATTTTCTCGCAACATTATAACATTCTATTCTTGCCCGAACACCATATCAACATCATTACAATATGGAGGCTCTATTCCTCTGCCCTAATCTACGCCGTCCTTCTCTCCATCTTTCCCACAACCTCATATCTGTCAATTTTCTTTCTGAAAGCGATTACCGGTTCTTCGTTTCCCATACTTTGCCATTGCATACGCTGTCCTACACCACAGCAAACCACACCTTTCCTTTAGCTGTTGAATATAGCACCTTGTATACTGGTTGGTATGTGTGTTAAAACAGAAGCCCCTGTATAACACCTATACAACACTCACACACACACACACACACACACACACACACTACACGCCCGAAAGAACCAGGACTTTCTCATTCATCCACCCAAAAGGACAAGATGTTCACACCATTTATGTGCGGTACATTCATTAAAAGAAAAATAATCGCAAGCACCCAAAGCCCATAGCCGATGAAATAGTAAAAAATTAAATAATATGACCTTAGAAAACCCCCTGCTGCCCACCGAAACTGTATGACATCCTCCTTTGTCCCGTCTACCCCTTAAAACAGCAAAAATTATCTCAAGTACGACAAACCAACAACACACCCCACGAATTATATATATATAAAGCAAGCTCTAGCAATTGAAAAAGTAACCTGCTGCCACCTCACATCACATATCAATCGTATCATTAAATCGCAGCACACCATTACTCCTCATAACCCCATTCACGCCTTCGGGCATCCTATACGCCCACTCCGCCGACCCACCACCACCACCCATGGCGGAAGGAGAACAAGAAGAAGCAGCAGCAGTAGCAGCAACGCCAACCTCAACGCCACGACCACCACTTATTTTGTTATTGGATATCGCTGCTGCTGCTGCTGTTGTTGCTGAAGATGATGGCGTCCCGATACCAAAACGACTCTTATCCAGCACTTCATCGGACGTGTCTGCAACAAGGACGAGGCCTAGTTCCTTGATCGATTCGACGAGGGAAGGCATGACGTTCTACATCGTGGCAGGATTGGTGAATTAGGCGCGGCGACGAGGCGAACATACATAAAAGTAGGAAGAACAAATAAAAATAAAACAATCGGAAAAAGAAAGAAATAAGTAAAAGGCAAAGGAAAAAGAGGAGTACGTACCAGCAGACTCGACCGACACATCAGTCCCATAAAGTTATTACTCTGCGCTATCCGCGCCGACTCCTTAATAGACATTGACGACCGCCCACTGCTGCGAATAACAGGCTGCGAGTAGATATCCTGCGTCAGATCACGTATTTGGCCCAGATCATTGCAAAGAAGAACAGGGTCTAGTTTTCAAGTTAGTTCCGCGTCACTGAGACGATAAACGACACAAAAAGATGAAAAAACACGTACAATTAGGCTGCTTCCAATTCAACGCCGTGCAAATATTCGGATTATAAGACGTAAAGACAACCGACCGCATGAAATCCGGTGTCGACTCCTTTGACACCCGCGCATGGTGGAACACTTCTGTCAAAATCGCGTCGGCAACTGTATTGATATCCATCAACGGGCCGAGGCCCAGTTTCACCTCCTCCGCCGGCGACGGATACAGGATGCACAGATCGATGTGTATGTTTGTCGGGAGGTGTTGGAGGACTTCGCGCAGAGAGAGGAAGGATATCGCGAGGAGCCGATGCGCTTGCGCCATGTCATCCACCGTCATTGCTTCAAGGGATTTGAGCAGGGCTGAGTCGGCTGAGCTGGTCTGGGAGAGGTATGCGGCGTGGATGGCTCGGGATTGGTCGAAGGATAAGCGGCAGATTGGGATGTCGATTCCGTGGTGGTTGACAGTGAATTCTGGATAGAGGACGGGGACGCAGTCCTTTGTCAATTGGACAAATACCTGGACGTAATCTCCTGAAAGACTCGAGCCAGTTACCAGGCCGTTACGATCTGAATCAAGAGCGCCTGTCGCTTTCCAGTATGTCGCGAAATGTGTGATCTCGAGCGGGTTGCCGTGGTAAGGTTTGATGACCTGAAACTTGAAGCGGATCTCCCCGATTGCTCGTAACCTGGGATCAAAAAGAGGCAAAGCGCAGGTTCCTTCTGATGCGCCACCTCCCAGAAACACATCCGGCAACGCAACTGTTTTCGCAATAACCTTAGATCCAAACGTAGGAAATATTTCAAACTCGAGCGCAAAGGTATCCAGTCGGTCGATTTGGAAAGACACAAGACGCGAATCATCTTGAATCGGAAGCATCACATTTCGAGGTATAAGATCTGACGTTTTCGAGGAAATAGTTAAGCGAGCTGCAGCGTAGCGGCCGGACTGATAGAATACGATAGGTTCAGAAGATGGCGTTGGGTCAAAATGTATTTGTATGAAAGTCTTAGTGTCAAGGAAATTATGGCCGTATCGGCGCAACGGGATAATAGGAGGAGGTAGAGATAGGTCAGGAATGCCGTCACCAGCGTCCATGCCTCTCATAGTTCCTGACTGTTCTGCGAGGTGTGGGGAAGTCATCGAACCCGAATCTCGAAATCTGGGACTCTTGAGCATATCCAATGGCGTCCGTGCCGGTTTTGAGCCAGAGCGTTTCGACCACAGCAAGATCATGCACTCCAAGTGGCCTTCCCACGCGGCATAGTACATAGCAGACAACCCTTTCTCATCAAGTGCATCAGGATTTGCACCGCATTCCAGCAGCGCCCTCAAACAATTAACACATCCCTCACTTGCAGCATGGAAAAGGGGCGTCCATTGATAAAGCTTGTCCTTTTGGTCAAGATCGGCGCCATGGTTTTTGAGCAGAAAAAGTACTTCGGGATCTCGACACGACCTTGCAACGAGATGTTGCGGGTACAAACCCTCGGCGTCAGGGAGCAGGTTGGCATTCCTTTCTAGAAGCAAGGATATAATCGGCAAGGAGGCATGCTGACAAGCCAGATTTAGGGGAATATGGTCCGACTCGGACGTCGGGTTTATGCGAGCGTTGTGGGTAAGAAGTTGTTCCACACAGGGTAGCTGGTCCCGGATTATACTGTGGATCAGTGGGGTGAAGTTGTCATGATCCATCAAATCGATTGTAGCAATGCCCGCTTCGAGGAGCGCTTTCACCATCTCAACTCTGCCATGCATGCAGGCATAGTGAAGAGGTATCCTTCCGTATACATCTGATCGCGATACATCGACTCCGCGCTCCAGCCCGGCCTGAAGTACATAAAGGCGACCAGATATAGCTGCTTCATGGAGACAGTTGCGTTCATTAATATCATCCTCCGCATTCACATCCACGAGGCCCGTGTCAAGAAGCAGGGCCAAAACTTCATCCGGATACTCGTTAATCGCAGCTAGGAATATACGTGTGAGTCGATCCGCCGCGTCCGGCGACGATTGCAGTTTCGAAATCCATTCCCGGAGCGTTTGGTAGTTGCCGGTAGATGTGGTTTGCAGGATCTGTAGGTCAGAATCGTCCTCCTCAGCAGTCGCAACCACACGATCTGCCAAGCGCGAGGCATCGAATTGAATATTTTCTCCTTCCGCCCAGGCCTCGAGATCCAATCTTGAGGTCGTTGCTCTGTCGGATAGATCTCGCAGAACCTCCCGATTAAAGCATGGCTGTACTTCCACAGCGCGGTGGAGATACAGTTCTTTTGTGCGTGACTAGGTGGCTCTCTCTTGTCAGTTCGACTTGTCTCTATGAGAGATTTTATAATATATGTAATTATATATATTCAAACTAGCAATGGCAATCGGACCTTTGAAGTTTTATCCCACTATGTGCACACCAAGTCATGTCAGCGTTTTTTGTTCATGTTTTCCATTTCCCATCTGTCAGGGTACTCAAGCGGACGGGAAATGAACGAACCTTTTTCAGGATTTTCGAGACGGCCGTTTCATTGATCTCGACGAATTGCTGTTATCCAGTCGACGAGTAAGAAATTTTGCATCCACACATCGATACGTAGTGACCTTTAGCCAACTAGCCAGTTTAACTTACTTGAAGTTTGTTCAAGTCTCCATCGAACTGCTGAAAACCTTCAACCAAGGTGACGAGATTTGTAGGGGCCCTTGAATTGGAAACCCATTTTTTCGACTGTATCAATCTCCTTTTATCGAGAAGAGTTTTGAGGCGCAGAGTGAACTGTTATGGGATCGTCTTGATCAGTTGCAGTTAAAATGAACCAAGTTGCGTATTACTCTCTTCTTGGGAGAGAGAGCTCCTCTCGAATGTTTGTCCCATAGACAGTAAACAAAAGAAAGAGTATTAGAGGCAGTAACCAACCTCTGCTTCCTTTTGAAGATAAAAAACATTTACTTTTTCAATCTCTCGTTCCTATTGGAGATAGCGGTGAAAAGAAAAAAACAAAAAGGGTTAGCAGAGCGAACGGATTATCAACTCTATTTGAAAATCGTCTGCCTGGACAGACAAAGGATATTGACGTCAGTTTGATGATTTAAAAATACCAGACGAAAGAAGAAGACATCCTTATTTGCACGAAGGGCAGCTTGTGGATCGAGGAGCTCGGGCGCCGGGTCCATGGGCGAGCTCTGTGCCGGGATGGTCGGTGTTGCGCTGAGCTGCTTGATGAGCTGAAGAGCGGAATGATGTTAGCAATAGTGACATGAGGGACGGGTACGATATCTGGCACTGAGAAGATGCGAATCACACCTTCTTAAGAGCTTTGTAATTGAAGAAGCTAGCAGCATACTCGGGAAGGTCGAGCTGGCGCCGTTGGATCTGCTTTCCGAACTTCCTGAGAGGACGAGCGGAGTTAGAAGAAAACGGTTATCCATTGGATGGTCGGTCTCCTGCCTTCAATCCTCAGCCGCGCGGGATCGAATCAGATAGAACTTACATGTCTGCTGGCTTTGCTGGCTGGGAGCGTGAGGAGCAGAACCTAACCAGAAGGGAGGCGCCTGTCTCTTTCAGTGGACTCCTTTTTACCACGTGGTTTTGGAGGAATCAGGCGCCAGAGACGGGGTTGCGAGACGAAAGGGAAGCGCGTCGGGACAAGGGGAGGGAGATTTGGTGAGGATTTAGGATACGCTGTTTTCCTTTTGGAGATAATACGGAGAGCGAGGACAACAGAGATCGGCTGGTTAATTAGTCGGGGCGATACGGATCACAGGAGGACAGCAATGCAGAGACTTCTGTGGACGATCAAAAAAAAAAAAAAATTAAAATTAAAATAAACCCTAGGAGATACGTTCCGATGAGCGAGGTCACCACGAGAGGAAGACTTTTTCTGGGGGATGGAGGCGGGAGAAGAGGGGAAGCATAAAGGTGACGACGGGGCAGAGGCAGCGGTTGGCGACGACATGGTATGAGGTTCGGATTCTTATATGAATGTATACACACACGTATGTATATAGCTTGGAACGCGAGGCGGAAGGGGAAGTGGCAGAATCGGGAAAAAGATACAGCAACGGCCTAGGAAACCACATACAAACCCAAGGTACCTACCTACCGTATCCATGCGCGCCGGAAGTTTGATATTCCGAATGGGAGGGACGCGGGATTTGGGGGACCGGGATGGGAGGGGGGGAGCAGTAGGGTTGTTAAACTCAACCTCCGAGCTTGGTGGGCTGTATCCGTATATCTACGGCGAAAATAAGGTATGCAGACAGAGAGGAGAGAGAGGGGCCACAGGAGGAGGCCCATATACAGGCATATATAGATGTAGGGATGAGCTGTTCGGAGCTCTGGCGATTAGCCCTTGACATCATATGAAGGACGAGCACTTTTTGTATGGAGCAAACACGTTGCCTGGAAAAGGGGAGGGGGGAGGGGAAGCGTTAACGAATGGGGATGGAGAGGGGGGGAATTGGAAATACATGCAAATATAAAGTGCCTATAATAACAAACAGCCTTTGCAGCTTGTCTCTATGGATTCTTTCTTTTCTCTCAACTTCTATTTAAATGTTCGTCGTTGCAGGGCGTTGTGTTGTTTGCGAGGCTTCGCCCCGCCCCAGAGAGCCCCGGTCTTGGCGTAGGATCGGCATTTCTCATCCCTAAGAATATCTGCAAATAACATCCACTCGCTCCTACGCACATCCACATCCACATCCACATCCACATCACATCCTTAACCACATTCCATATCGATATGCCGCTTCTATTTTCTGTACCTCGCCCCCCCCTACCCTATAGCTAATATGTCCACGTAACTTCCAGGCATCTATCGATCATCCCTGCTTCCCACCGCGGCGGTGATGTGTCCAGGCAGGCAACCGACTTTGCCTTCCCTACATTAAACCCGCAGCCGCCCAATGGTGATTCTCTATGTACGCACGTTGCCGATGCTCTGGGTGCTAACGAGGCCCTCCTACAGTCTCTACAGTCTCTACAGGCTCCAACAGGCTCCAACAGGCTCCAACAGGCTCCAACAGGCTCCAACAGGCTCCAACAGGCTCCCTACATACAGCCTCTGTCACCAGCCGAGCCAAAGCGCCCGTTTTGCCCCGGGTTCCAAAAAGCTTGTTCCTCACTTCGGCTCCTCTTCAACATACAATGTTCATTCACATGGCCGGAACAAGTATCCCTGCCCTGATGCCTTTTCGGTGGCTGCCGCTCCTTATTATAGCTAGAAGGGAAATGTCGAATGATCCTTTCTGTGTTCCTAATCCACCCCCACCCCCACAACCATGGTTATTAATCCTCAACGGGAGTTAAAAAAGAGCTTCCATCTGCTCCATTCATCATTATTATTGTCCCCCTTCGAAGACTACATTACCCTAGGAGCCAACCCGCCAGCGTTTGTAGCCATTTTCCCTCCAGATTCCACGTTAACGTGGTAATGCTACTGAACTACCCCTAGTATCCCCCTAACTAACTAGGCAAGGCATCAAAAACCTGAAACAGTTCGTTCTTTTCCAGCCCCTTTTCGAGAAGCTCAGGTTCAGATCCACCAAAATTTTCAGGTCAAGTCCTCGGGATCCAGCGGAATCCATCTAGACATAATAATATACAATATACCGCGCAAACCCACCCCCCGCCACCCTTTTTTGTTAATAGTTCCTGGCGTGATTGACTGATACCGACTCGATGGCTTCCATTCATGCTGAGTTTCATTTTACTCCCCCCCCCAAGTTCCGGTCTCATTAATGAGGCAGACATAGGAGCCCTACCCGAATATTTCCGGGCGGCTTCATCAGTTACAGCTCTGGGTTTTATTATATATAGCGCGCTGCTCCCCAGTAGAAAGTCAACCACGGGAAATTCCCCCCACTCTCTTCGGGCATATGACGTTTGCAACAAACGCGATCGGGGAAGAAGCAGGGATGTCAATCAGTAAACTGTCAAGCGCAGTTGAACCGATTCGACAACAACCGGCCCTGCCTCCCCCAGTGGATCGAAACTTAACTCTTCTGCCATGATTCCATGATAAAATGACGCTGAGTAATAAACTCAAGCAGTGCTGTTTCAGCATTCCCAGGAAGGTTTCAGTTAAGCTTCGGCGGCGGGTCCCGTGATTGGCCCTTGGGCCTAGCTGCTGTTCCTGGGAAAAGCTGGCCAATCAGCGCGTTGAAACCAGCGTCCCCGGCCCGAGGGTGGGTTCCCGCACCATACCTAAAACAGCTAGTATCGCTGCTAGTTAACTAGTGGGGTGGACTAAATTAACCACGGGTAGTGAGGTAATCAGCGCTATCAATGTGACTAGTTAACTAACCCAAACAAACGTAAACGCTCCAGGCAAACACAACACTCACAGGAGCACAACATCATCTGCTTTGTATACAGATTAAACGCAAATTACCATCATTAAAAATTATCGTCGTTAGAAATTACATTAGACTAGAACTCGAACATGTTGTTCTTCCATGTTCCATATCACTGCAGTTGCTGCATTTGATCATGATTGCAGAGAATTCAAACAGTTTTAAAAATGAACTCATCATATGTTTAACATATGATATAATATATGTAATAAGCTGCTGGGTCTTTTCCTGTCGGTAAATCTTCTGCTGACTGAACTTTCTTCCAGATTTCATGCGTTCTTACTTTTCATGTTTATTTATAATAAACATATGTTAATACTACTTCTTGCTTTAATGATAATTATTCTTGATTATAAATTGAAATAAATCATTAAACTTTAAAGGTTTTTATAAAGATTTTTTTAATATTATTTATTTTATATATTTATAAACTATTAAATAATTATAAATTTAAAATATCTTTATTGTAAAATTATATTATAGTTTTATATATTTACTATTTAATATATTAATTTAATTTTTATAAACTTTAATAAATTAAAAATAAATATTAAAATAATTTTTTAAAAAATATAAAAACTAAAATTATTTTTGAAGTTTTTAATATATTAAATTTAAAAATAAAATAAAATATATTATTAATATTTTTTAAAAAAATTTATATTTATTAAATATTATTTTTTAAAATCTTTTAAATTTAAAAAATTTTATTTTTATAAATAAATAATTATTATAATAATATAAATAAATAAAAATAATTTAAACTTAATAAAAATAAATTAAAAATAATAACTTTTATTAATTATATTTAATAAAATTTAATAATTTATTTAATAATTTAAAAAAATTATTCAAAGTTAAAAAAACTTTTTAAAATATTTTTAATTATATTTTAAAAAATAATTTTAATTTTATAAATTTTAAAATTTTTAAAATTATTAATAAAATAAATTATTAATTTTATAATAAAAAATATTTAGTTTTTATTTAATATATTAATTTAAAAATTTTTTAAAATATAAAAAAATATAAAATTTTAAAAAAATAAATAATAAAACTATTATTTTTTAAAATAAAATTATTAAATTTAAATATTTAATAATATATAATAAAATTTAATTTTAACTTTATATTTAAAAAATAACTCAAATAAAGATAACTTTAAATAATATAGATAAACTTTTTAATATTAAAAAATTATTTTTTAAATTATAATATAATTATATATAATTTATATAATATTAATTTTAATTTATATAATTAAAGTTTAATAAAAAAAATAAAAACTTTATAACTATTTTTAAAAAATTTTAAATAAAGTTTAATAAAAATATTAAATATATTTAAAATATTTATTATTAAAATTATAAATATAAATTATTTAATTTAAACTAAAAATAAATATTTTAAAAACTTAAAAAAATATTATTTTAGTTTTATAAAATATATAAAATATAATAAATTTTTAAAAAAATTAAATTTATTAATAATTTATTTAAAGAAAAAAATATATAAATATAAAAAAAATTTATAAAAAATAATTTTAATTTTAATATATTTTAAAATTTAAAAAATTATATAATTATTTTATTAAATTATAAACTTATTTAAAAATTTAATAATAAAATTATATAATAATTTTTAATAAAATATTAAAAATATCTTTTTATAATATAATTAAAACTTAAATATTTTATAAAATTAAATAAATATAATATCTATAATTTTATTAAAATTTTAAATTATATTTTAATAAATTACTTATTAAATAATAATATTAAAAAAATAAAAGATAAAATTTTATTAAATTAAATATATTTTTTTCTTTAATATTAAATTAAAAATAAAGTTTTAATTAATTTTATAATATATAAACATTATCTTAAAAGAATAAATTATAAAATTAAAAATAATTTATTTTTTATATATATTTTTATTTATTGTTATTTTATCATAATATTTTTATCTTTCAATATAATTAATAGTTTTAAAAGTTTATATAAGAGTTTATTACTTTATTTTTAATTTTCTTTACATGCATAACTTCGCGCTGAATAGTGTATATCACGTTGCCATCCTTTGGTTAATATGGGATGGTTAATTCTCTATTGGTGGGAGGAACTAGCTAGCTAACTAAGATACGCCTATATTGCATGCCGGGGGGGAGCGAGCGCTGCCCGGGCAACCATGCTCAACATATATTACTGGCGTGCCGTCAAAGGGAAGGGGGAACACTTGCCGGCGGGGTCATTTGTGCGATGGTGTCAAGGAGATTAAATACAGCTTTCCAGATGTTGACGTTCCATTCCCTGACATTCTGGATTTCAACGTCTTCTGGCACTTTGGACGTCCCGGATACCAGCATCCGGTGGCGGTCATATCTAAAGTTTCCTTTTGGCCTTTTGGAGGCGCTCGAATTGGTGTGCTGGATCAGGCGCCATATTTCCGTCCCTTGTCCGCGAGCGCAGGCTGTAGGCTGCATCCTCTCCCTGTAAAGCATGGACAAGCTTTGAAATCACATTTTGATAGAGTTGGTCAAGGCTATCAACAGCGCCATCATAGGAGATTAGGCGCGACTCAAAGATTCTTTTAGCTTCCTGAAACACGCCTCGTAAACGATCAACTGAATCGGTTAGAGGATGGTTCTTGACAATGTCGCAGTCTCCCTGCGAAAGTTCCGCCATTTTGACGGCATTAAAAATCCTTAATTTGGTGCATGGCTTGCAATTTGTCATTGAAGACCAGCTGGGAGATGCTGTAAAACTAATTTTCAGTACATGCCATTTCAGTGCCAGTCAATTATTTTGAGAATAGAGGATATTACCCCTAATATTGACATCCGGCATGTTGAGGCCATGAATATTTCCTCGAGATCTTTCCTTATTTTTAATCATGGCTATGCCATGTTGTATTCTCAAGAATGGCCCACTCATGGCCAGCTCTACTCTTGGGGGAATATTACTGAACCTGGATGTCTTCACCTAGACTCTTCTTCTATTCTTTCAATCTTATCGGTCAAATGGAAATAATTCCCTTTTATATAGAGGTGTTATATGCATGTCCAAGAAGTTATCCTCAGATTTCATCATTTGTCACCCACCTCACTGAGACCCTTTCTAGTTGAGTGGTGCCTGTGATGGTGACTCTGGTGAAACAACGATCTATGAATCTCTACAGTTGCTGTTAAGCTACCCATCAATCATGTAATAGAGTTGATCAACAAGAAGAAGGATACGCTTGAAGAGAGGGATATATCACGGGGAGACCCCCTCTTTCCTGGGCCGGCGATGGGACTCTGACGTCGCGGAACTGCTGTGGAGGGCGGTCTATTGCCGTGATTGGATTGCTGATCAAAAGAGGCGCTGATGTGGATCTGCGAGATGTGGAGGGAACTGGGCCACACTGGACTGGGCTTGGAGGGAACCTATGATCATAATATGATGGTGTGAGAGATTCAGATGTTGCTTTGAGCTCAAACAAAGTACAGGATATGGTCCAAAAAGTTCAACTCCTCCAATCAAGCAGCCAATGATGAAGCTCATTGCTCAAACAAATCAATATCTCTGACAAACTGCTTTGGCGTCCTTCTGGTTGGGTCATCGATATATCATTCCACAGTTTCAGGACAACGCGGGCAACGGCAAAGAGTCACCTCATATTGGCCTTGAAAGGGTGTTAAACTCATAGTAATAAGCTACGGTGAGAGATTACCTGTGATAAACAATGGGAATTGTACCCTGCTTATCCTGGGAACCTTCCTGATATTTACTTGCATATTAACCGACGTTGCCAGAGCTTTTGAGTGCTGGTGGAGTTCTCATGCTGAAGCCAAGCAACCTGCAGGTATATCTAGCTAGTGTGCTCCAACATTCCGGCGAAAGGTTTTTCAAAACCATTCTTCTCAGTTCATTTCAATCTACTAGCTCTTTACATCACCATATTTGGCACTACACTGTCACTGTTTCTAATCCCTCATTATATGTGAGAGACTGCCCGTTGAGCTGGAATCACAGCAGAATTTTAGTGTTTGCCAGTACATCAAGTGTCCTTGGAGCATTTCTTTGTCTCAGCAATTATGGATGATGCTACAGTTACACAGGTCCTCTTGTTTGAACATCCCAACGCTGCACACTGGAACCAAGAGCTTATGCTGAAATTCCAGGCAGCTCCTGAAAAAAAATCCATTGACTGACCTGCTATTGATTGTCTCTGATTAATATCAACGAGAGCATTGAAAAGCTCAGTTTCATGAGCTTTCTTATGCAGCACAATCAATCTCGCAACAGTCAAGAAGCTCAGCAATCAACTTAAGCATGAACCAGAAGTCAACCTGCTGGCTGTGTTTTGAAAGAATTATGCTTGCAGAATTGAAATGGCGACTGCTACCTGTGCAGCGCCATCTACAGAGGATGCTGAAAAACAGAGTCCGCCTGAGTTCAGAACACATCGTGACCTCGCTGACTCTGCCACAGTTGTATATTTATTGTCTGAGACAGTTTCTGCCCTGCTTGCTAGCTATCCCACACCCAGAAGGGCCAGATAACAGAGAGCAAGCACTGGTTTTCTCAAACAACTTATTAATTGATTTGTAACTATTATTATAGTTATATTTTATAAAATAAATAAAATATTTAAAAGTAAATTTTAACTTTAATATATTTTAAATTAAATTCTAAACATAAATAAAAAAACTTTAAATTTAAAATATATAATTAATTATTTAATAAATTTTTTATAAATTAAATTAAATAGTAATAAAAAACTTTTAAAAAAAATATAAGATATAAAATAAATATTAAATTAATTTAAAAACAATTAAAAAATTAAAATAAAAAATAGAAATTAATTTATTAAATAATATAATTTATAAAATAATAACTTTTATTATTATAAAGTTTTATAATAAGTTTTAAATAATTTAAATTTAACTGCTAATTATTATTTCTGATATTATATACAAGTTCTTATGAACTAGTTAGTTATAAAAGAAGTAGTTAGTAATTGAATATAAAGCAAAATATATTATAAAGATATACTTCTTCATTTGCAGATATTATTTTCTTTCTTTTCTAAAGCTGAAACAGTGAGCTCAATTCTTTCTTCCCTCTCTCTCCGTAGAGGTTCATGAGTTTTTACTGTGTATTGGCAGCATTTTCACGAGTCAATGAGATTTGCGAGATCTACAGGTTTACCATGTAATTAGTAGCTGACAAGGTAGTCTCCCGCACTAAATCGGTGTGATGGTACAAAGTGGCCAAGGCTCGTAGTTGCTAGGGGCAATTCCCAGCGGATCGCCCAATCAGGCAATTCAGACCTCACCTCCTCCTCCGCCTCTTCTCTTCTTCTCTTCTTCTTTTCCTCTCTTCTCCTCTTCTCACTCACTCACTCACTCACTCACTCACTCACTCACACTCACTCTCTCCCTCTCTCTCACACACACTCTCTCTCTTCACCCTTGTCTCTCATTCTGTTCCTCTCCTCATCTGAGGGGGCTGCCACTCCTTTTTTTTTTTGTTTTGTTGTTTGGCTTTGCCAAAGCTTTGATCTGCCCTCCACGCTCCTTACTAGGTCGCCCAGTTCTCATTCCTGTGGCTTCTCTCGTCCCACCCAACCCTTTGAAAGGCCGCCTAATCATATCGTATTCTTCTAATAGCACTATCCTTCCTTCGAATCACCTCCTGTTAGTTCTGCTGTCGTCGTTGAAAACTTATCCTTTCCTCGAAATCCTGCTGGTCCATCGCGGCAGACACGATTGCTTTTCGTCTTCGCGTGGCTGGCTCATTTCCCTTGGAGGCTTGGCGGTGATTATGGGATAAGCAGCACCAAATAACTAATAAGCACAATAATAAGCACTTTGGCGCACCGACATTCAGGCAATTGCGTCGCATCGGCGAACTCCTTTTTATTAATCATCATCATCATCAACAACACTATCCATTCCGCCTGTATTACTACTGTCTAGCTACTGGTAGCTATACTTCGTCTTTTGTGCGAGAGAGAGGGAGGGAGATACATCCAAGTTATGCATGGTCACAATCACGTCGATCGAAGGGCCGCCATCCCCTTTGTTGCTGTCCATCCTGCCGCAGTGCTGAAAAGAGCCGATTCCCCCACGACCACCACCACTTCTACCCAAAGCGCAAAGTCATGCGGGCCCAACGACACCACCGGAGTTTGCGAGAGATCCGTCAGCTCGAGCAGCACCACTCTCCCCATCGTTCTAGGTGCTGTGTATGTTGGCCCATGCATACCCCAATCCTTGTTGCGGTTAATTGTTTTCTTTTTCTTTCTTTTTATTTTAAAAGAAAATTAAAATAAATATATAAATAAATAAACATTTTCTTCTCGCTAATCACGATTTTGATAGCATTCCGCTTACCGTTGCTATTATTGTGCTCATCTTTCTGCATCGCCGTCATATTAAGAAATTACGGAATGAGGACGCCAACGATAAACACAAATCGCTGGATTTTGGCCTGGATGATGTTCCCCCCAGCGGGAAAAAGGGCGCAAAGCATCGAAAGGGTGGCATGAAAATGACATCCGCAGAAGCTGAGAAGTCCATCCGTCGAAATGATCGCGGCCTGTCATTGGACATCACCATGACCAGTCCGTATCTTCTGCCACCCACCCTACACGGCTCAAGAGAATCGCTTCACTCCCTCTCGAGATCACACACCAATGACGACAAATACCACACCGCGACAGCTTTCAGTCCAACCGATAACGGCTCCGTAAGGTCATTCCACAACAACTTTAAGCATGGCATAGACGATTCTTCTAGCTTTACTGGCGCGAGTAGTCAACATGGCCATGGTGATGACATGAACGTCAATCTTCTCAAAAATGTTCAGCGCATTTCCAGGGCCAGCCCTCCGCCTCCTCTATTCCAGCTAGAGACAGGGCCGCCGAAAGAAGACCGCCTTGACCTGGTTAGGACAACTACAAATCAGAGCCAAGTGGAGTCGCCCAAGTCAACACTGGTCTCTGATGGATCAGCCGTTCCGTCCCCGCCGCGCGCATCTAATCCAAGCAACAGTCTCTCACCGCACGATCACAAAAGTGCAAGCGACCTCCGGGAAAACAACGACTACTTGGGTGCTCGTATCCAACAGGGCAGTACTCCAAAGAACCCGCATCGTAGCCAATCGCCTCCTACACATGTCGTACCACAACATACTGGTAATTCATTAAATACAGACAGTCCCTGTACCCCTCCATCACCTTTAATGGCTATCCCGGTAGCTGACAATAACTTGTTACCATCCAACTCGCAGTCGCAGGCCCAAACAGCACCTCGCATCTCTCTTCCATCAGATGATGATGATGATCGAAGTGACTATGGAGATGAACAACGAAAGTCCACCTTCGTTCTTCCCCAGCTGAACGTGGAACCTGCAGCAGAGTCAAGCACACCCCAGCCAGCAGACCGCAAATACCGTTTATCTACCATGTATGGTCTCCCAGACGACCAAGGGTACCAGTTCGACACCCGACGTCTTACTATTGGCATCCGCCCGCTGCCACCAGAAGACCCATCCGACAACCCAGAGCAACGGGCCAGCCGCATCCGATCCTTTTACAAGGAGTACTTTGACGATACCAAACCCGCCCCGTATGGGGAATATTACGAGGACTATGGTCCAGAGGACTATCGCGAAGACAGGGTGTACGACCCTGCTTTGAACCCGTATGCCAGCGATCCGTACGATGGCAGCTATCACGGCGAGTTCTACCCACCAGAACCACCTCCATTCTCCCAACACATCGGACGCCGTGCCATGACCCCGCCACCCAACTTCCACCCCCGCCCGAACCCCCCCCGTCAATACGGCGCCTCCTCCGCCTTCGGCTTCGCCCCGACCCACAGATCCTTCTCATCAGTGTCTGGCGGCGACCCGGGCCCACGCGCATTCTCGTCCATATCCAACCGGCCACCCGTAATGCGGCGCAAACCCGCGGCGCCGCCAGCTCCTCTGCACGAGCTGCCCACCCCGCACAAGCTCAAGGATGATTCTATGGTCCTGCCGATCGATTTTGCACCGGCACCCAATTCGAAGGAACGTAGGCAGGGTCGCTCCGAGACGCCGCTGGGTGGGCTGCGGCCGTTCGTGCGTGTGATTCCGGCGCATATGCCGCTTGCGTCGTCGTATGATGATCTTGCTGCCATGCCTAGCCCGTACGTATAATAAATTAAACTAAATTAAAAATAAAATATAAAATAAAATATGATACCCTTTCCTTCCATATATATATAAGGCCCAAGCAAACCACTTATCTATCAACTTTTTAGCCACGCCCTCCGCAAATCTGGCACTTATACCGCTCTCGACTTCGCGCCGCCGGCCCGCTTCCGAAACGCAGGCGACGCCGCCAGCGACTCGGGCAGCATCCGCAGCAACCGCACCGGCGGCCTCTCGCCGGCGGTGTCGTATAATATACGCACGGGCGCGTATAGGCTTAGTCGGCTGCCGGCGGAGACGGTCGGGACGAAAGAGGATATTAGGTCTGGGTTGCGGCCGACGTGGGATATGAAAGGAAGATGTTAGTTTTGTGGTTTATTTTGAGGTTTTCTCTATTTTTTTTTCTCTATTTTTTTTTATTTTATTTCTCTTTTCTTCTTCTATTTTAATTGCTGTTGGATTCTAATTTGAGCTGGGTGTGGTTATTTTCTTTTCTTTTCTTGGGTCTTTTAGTCCTTGTAGATTGGTTGTATGTGTGATCATCTATTATAAGCTTACACATCTAGCTATCTATTCATATACCTTTCTCTTTTCCCGTTCCTTTGAGCAAGGAAGAGCTAGCTTTGTAATTTGGACGAGATCTATTTATATTTTCATATGCTTCCTCACCTTCTTTTTCATCCACATGATCACATAGCTCATTTAGCTGACGTTCTCATTTTCCCTCTTGCCTATGTACAGCAGGAGCTGGACTGACAACACTTTTAAAAATAACCCAAAAATGAAAAGCAGCATGGAAACAAAACCAAACTGAGAAGAGAAGATATATATATATATATATATATATGTATGTATGTATATTTTCATCTGCCCTCCCTGCATGCCCAGCTTGCTGTGAACAACATATGTACCATCCCACACCTTAGCTAACTTTTACACAGTATAGTTAAACAACGTTAGAGCAGAGCAGGGTAGTAAATAAACAGAAGACATGCCATCTAAATATTAGAAATCAACCCTGCGCCGGGTACCGCCAGGGCAGGACTGGCTTCCTTGCTTTCTTTCCTCTAGGAGAAGCGCGCGCCTGTTTCGGGGGCATACCTTGCAACTTCTCTCCACACACACACACACACACACACACACACACATATATATATATATTCCTTTCGTATTTCTCGTGCAGGTTAGCTAGCTAGGTGATGGACCAAGCCGCACTTCGCTCCAACGGGCGGGCTAGCAGGATACGTAAAGCGGTATATTACCTGGCTTTTCTCCCTTGGGCTCTGGAAGTCGTTTTTTCTTTTCTTTTCTTTTCTTTTTTTTTTTTTTTTTTTTGGCTTTTTCTAGTTATTGATTCCTCTTTGTACGGCGATGCATGCGAGAGAGGGTGAGGGTGAAGGTGTGGGGGGAGAGGGGGGGTTGAGATTTAATGATGGGCTTTTCAGAGTGAGGGGAGGTGTGTGCCGTGTTATATCATACTGTGTTGTATTGCATTAAACTGTGAAACTGCGCTATACGATATATACTTGACCAGAATTTCGAAAAAAAAAAAAATGAGGGCGGGGGGAAGGAATCGATAGCAATGGTTTTGAAATATGGGTTTAGAGAGAGATGGGAGGATGGTTGATGGATTGATAGTGATAGGAGACATCCAAGTAGGAAAGAAAGGGAACAAAAGAGGGAGTATTCAGCTACGATGAAAGCAGTATGTGCGTGGGGGAAGTGGGTCAACTAGACAAGCGATGGATTTCTGACTATGGACATACGTATATATATAATGCAAGGTGCAGAAAAGGGGAATAGTAAAAGAAGCATGTAGATGCGGATGAACAAGGATATAAACATCTTTGAGAAAAGCGGGAAAGAGAGATATCCGTCCACTGCAAGATTAAGAATCGAGAGTAGAGGGGTCAATGAACAAATAATGGAATAGATAACAGAGGCTCGAGGAGAAGACTTGAGGATTAAGATAAACCCGCAACCATCCATTCAGTTTATCTTCTTTCTTCTTTCTTTCTTTTTCTTTGTGATTTTCTAGTCGGTTAGGTGGAAGGGATTTCGCACCTCTGTAATTAAAAGGAGAGCGGTATATGAGTGTTGAATGTATGTGTATGTATGATGTGATATGAGGGGGGTAAAGGAAAGTCAACGGTACAAAAAAAAAAAAAAAAAAAAACAAGACTTGAAAACTTGACAGATCCATAAAATGTGGTTCCATCTAAAATTGGCGTGGAAATTGAAAGGCAGCAAACAAAAAAATAAATAAATAAATAAATAAATAAAAAACCAGGGAGTATTAGAGGAAGCGGCAGAAGCAGACATTATAAAAAAAAACAATATAACAATAAATAAACGAAGAATAAAAAAATAATAATAATAAAAATAAAAACTAAAGATTACAAAGCATCCCCCCAAAAAGAGTAATCACGACATCGGATAAACGAAAAGAAAAAACCTAAAAATTCTGCGATATTCCCGCATTCCCCTGCTGCGGAAACACAGACGGATTCTCAATCCGGGTATTCCGCCTCGCCTGCACATCCCGAATAACAGGGGGGCCCCCACCATACGGATTATCTACAAACGGCCCGCCATGCTGGCCCCCTTCCGCGGCATAATACGTCGCCTCGTCATAGTACTGGGCGTTGCCAGGCGCCACGCCGGGGATGGGCAGATCATCTGAGATATCCGAGTGGCCAGCCATGGAATAGGCGGAGGAGGCATTCGAGAGGCCGCGGTGGATGTTCTGGCTGCGGTTATTGGCGTTGGGAGCTAGAGGAACACCTGCGGTGCCTGCAGTACCTGCGGCGACAGGGTCGAGGGATGAGTAGTCGCCCGATATCGGTCTGTGGTCATCTTCGTAGGGGATGGAGTCGTCGACGGGGGATACGTTGCGAGGTGGGCCTTGGTTGCTGCCGTTGTCGGAGACGTTCAAGCCACCTGCGCCGCTGGAGGGATTTGTCGAGCGCTTTCGCGAGGTGGTGGTGGTGGTGGTGGTGGCTGCGGCGGCGGTGGTGGTGTTGCCCCAGCCGCGATATCCGCCACCGTTCCCGTCTTTCATGCCCACGATGTCGTCGTAATTGCCGCCAGCCAGGCCGACGGACGGCAAGGTTGGGTCGTGGTTGGGGTTGAATCTGTATTCCTCGATTTCCTGTTTGCGCTCTTCCTCGGCGAGTTTGGCTGCTTTGCGTCGCCGCCACCACCAGAGCAGGACGAGGATGATTGCTGTTATTGAGACCATGGGGACGACGACGGCGAGCACGATGGCGCCGCTGGGAGGGAGGCCTCCAGAGGGTCGGGCGGCAGTGGAACTGGTGGGAAGTGCCGATGGTGGAGTGGAATTGGTCATGCCGGGGAATTGGTTGTCACCGGCGGACGGAAATGGCTCTGCGGTGGAAGTGATGATTACTGTTCTCGTGTTATCGGGGGATGCAGTCTGCGTAGCTCCCGGCGAAGGGGTTTGAGGGTTTGGGTTTGGGTTCTGGCTTTGGGAGGGAGGCGAGTTGGGCGCTGAAGAACTATCAGGGGCGGGTGGAGGGTTGTTGCCTGAAGGACGGGGTTGGGGTTGAGGCTGAGGTTGGTTCGGTGGACTCGAGGGCTCCGGCTGTGCAGGAGGGGTGGATGGGTTTGGCTGCGGAGAGTCCTTTGGCGACTCTGAAGGCTGGGGGCTGGGTGTGGGCTGCGGAGCAGGGGGTGTGGAGGGAGGGGGAGTTGGGTTCTGCTGAGAGGGTGCCGGACCTGGTGTCGGCTCCCGAGTCGGAGCTACCGAAGAAGACGAGAGAAAGTAAGCATGAGACGTCGCATGCTCAAGAGTTGCAAAGGTCAGCCATTTTCGTATTGAATAAATACACACCTGGTTGATTCGAAGGGGACGCCATTTGTCAGAAGATGCAGAGACAGGGAGTTTCCCAAGTCCAGAGGGCTAAATCAAAATCCTTCTTGTTTGTTTCCCGATAGTCTGGCGTATTGTAGGGGAGAGATCTGGTTGTGTGCTCCCCTTTCCAGGCACCTGCAAGATGGTATCCGCGCGAGAAATTCCAAGACGAGAGAAGAGGAAGGACAGAAACCCAAAAACCCCAAAAAACAGTTCGTCATGGACCAGGGGTTTATTTTCTTAATTTTTTTTTCTTTTTTTTCTTTTTTTTCTTTTTTTTCTTTCTTTTTTCTTTTTTCTTTTTTCTTTTCTTTTCTTTTCTTTTTTTTTTTTTTTTCTATTTTGCCTTTTTGCTGTTGGCAAAGGTAGCAGTGACCTCAGGGACAGGACAATGATGTCGGACGAAACCCGCGCTTAGCAGCGGGACAGACGATGGATGAACCTGGGGGAAGCAATGCCAAAAGCAAGGGGAGGAGAGGCTGGGAGGCTGAGGGACTGGTTGGATCTGGTTTTTGGAAAGTGAAGGGACAGGAGGTTTGTACGACGGGGCCAAGAGTGACAGCGAGCGCGAGCAGACTGCTTTGGGGGCAGCAATTCCGTCCAAGCAAGCTTTCTTTTCTTTTCTGTTTAATCAGGGCCCGGTGGGTTGACTGGATACGATTAGGCCAATAAAAAATAGGGATGATTTGTATCGTGTATGTGGGGATTAGAGATAGTTCTATATATATATATATATATATATGGATGTATGTATATATACAGGATGGATCAGTGTGCGCCGGGGTATACGTATACGGGCGAAATCGGGTCGAAAACAGACGGGTCTAGGGACTGACAGGAGTGAAGAGAGCGGGAGACAACCAACAGTGGTTGAAAGGATCGTGTGTTGGATGGATCGATGGACAGATCGAGGGTGGAATGCGGGTGGGCGGTTGGCGTTTGGCGTGGGAGAGACGGGGATGACGGAAAGTTAGGGCAAGGAGAGTGGCGGTGGGGATGCGGGTGTATATATATAGGTTAGAGAGAGAAGAGAAGGAGATGAAAGAAGAGGAGAAGAGGAGATGAAGAGGAGATGAAAGAGGAGATGAAAGAAGAGATGAAGAGAGATGATGAAGAGGAGAAGAGATGAAGAGGAGATGGTTGAGATGAGATGAGATGAGATGAGGCAGAGACGGGAAAGAGAAGTGGGGGTACGGTATGGTCACGCCCATCGGCGCCGACGGGGAGATGGAGGGGGCTGAGGACGCAGACACACCGGCGACGGGCGGTATCCGTATGTAACGGGCGCCGTATGGGCTGAAACGGAGCAGAGAGACGAGAGACACAGCGACAGCCACAGCGACAGCGACAGCGACAGTCCCACAGAGAACACGATTTCTCGCACTCGATCCCCCCCCCTGCGGAGTGTTATCCAGCAAGGTACAGACAGCTCTGTGTACAGGTACAGGTACAGGTACAGGTTCAGGTACAGGTTCAGGTTCAGGTTCAGGTTCAGGTTCAGGTTCAGGTTCAGGTTCAGGTTCAGGTTCAGGTTCAGGTAACAGCGGTATTATGCTCTGCTGCGATGTGTAGGCCTATGTGCTGCTATATTTGTCTGAACTTAGTTTACACGCAGCGAGTGGGTTGGCCGGCGTACGGTGACAGAACGAACCGGCGATGCGCCCACCCACGGTAGCGACACACGGTCGAGAGGGGGGTTGCCGGTGCGTGCCGCCGCCGCCTGCGCCCAGCCCAAGTGTGGAACTACGCATTTACGCTTCGGGGTTGTCTACTGGCATCGTCTGTCTGTCTTCTCCTCTGCCGTCTGCCGTCTGCCGTCTGCCGTCTGCTGTGTCTGCCGTCTGCTGTGTCTGCCGTCTGCCGTCTGCAATCCCAATTGACTTTGCGTTGATCCCACGGGTGCAGAGGCCAGCGCCAGGGTCATGTGACAGCTTATGGCGGCAGGGGGCGGCAGAACGCCCGAAGAGAAGACAAGACAAGACAAGACAAGAGAAGAGAAGAGAAGACAAGAGGAGAAGAAGAGGAGGAGAAGAGGAGAAGAGGAGAAGAAGAAGAAGAAGAGGAGGAGGAGGAGGAGGAGGAGGAGGAGGAGGAGAGAAGAGGAGAGAAGAGGAGAGGTGAGAAAGAGACAGGAGATGAGACAGACGATGAGTGAGTGAGAGGAAGTCGACTCTGCTCTGCATGTAACCATGTCACCCTCACGCATCCACGGATCCTTGAGCCCGCCGCGTCCACCGCCTTTTTCCACCGCCTTTTTCCACAGCCTTTCCACAGCCTTTCCCAACTCAACCCTCCATCCAACTACAACTACACCTCCTCCACCACTCCCCAACCCTCCCCGGTCAGCCATCCCAGTGGTGCCCTGTTCTCGCTGTTCTCCACACCCCCTCGTGCTGTCCTGCTGTCCTGCTGTCCTGCTGTCCTGCTGCAACCGTGCGGGCGCCCGTGGTGATGGTTTGCCCTGTCTGCTGGGCTCGAGCGTCGCCACTTAACCTCCAACATAGCCACTGCAGCCCCACGGCGGTGGATGCAGAGCTCCCCCCTCCTTGCCCCTCCTTGCCCCTCCTTGGCTGCCCAGCGATGTGCGGCAAAGCACACACAAACTGCAAATCCAACATTTAAACATCTTGGGCGAGGTTCCGCTTCCGTGACGCCCAATTGATCAACCCTCTCTTGTTATTGCATACCACCTCTTATCTCCTTCCGCCCGGTACCTTTTTTTTCTTTTCTTTTCTTTTTTCTTTCTTTCTTTCTTTTTCTTTTTTTCCTCTTTCTTTCTTTTTTCTTTTTTCTTCTTTTCTTCTTTTCTTCTTTTTTCTTTTTGGGCAAGAAAAAAGAGGTTAAAGTATAATAAACACCCCAGGGAGCAATTCAGCCAATCGAACAGCCAGACTAGAAGCAATCACCTAAGCATGGATGATCTCTCCGCGGACATCGAAAAGGCCGAGATCGACGCTGCTGCTTCCGCCGGACACCCCTTTCCCTTGCCCTCCGTCGTCTCCGCCGCCCCCGATCAGCCTCGTTCCCGCTGCCACTCCCGCTCCCGCTCCCGCTCCCTGTCCTCGTTCTCCTCCTCCTCCTCCTCCTCCTCCTCCTCCTCGTCGGGCACCTCCAACAGACTCCATGGCATTGCCAGCATCCAGACCCTGCGCGATCTGGAACGGCATCCCACCGCCCTCAGTCGCATAGCTACCCAGCGGAGCCAGCACTCCGCGACCGTCGGGGCTGGCCTCCGCCCGCACCCGTCCAAAAAGACCCTCCCCCCGTTCGGCGCTGGGAAGCCATACCCGCCCCCTCTGCCGGAGAGAGAGGAATACGTTGTTGAGTTCGACGGGCCCGACGACCCTCTGCACCCCCAGAATTGGCCGGTTAAGAAGAAGTAGGTTTTTATATATATTGGTTTCTCTTACCTTCTTATATATACTCACCAACTCCAGAATCTTCACCGCCACCATCCTCGGCTGGGCCACCATGATCTCCTCCTTCACCAGCAGCATCTCCTCCCCCGCGATTCCAGAGATCTCCCGCATCTACGGCGTATCCACCCAGGTCGGGATCCTCAGCCTCTCCCTCTTCGTCCTCGGCTTCGCCACCGGCCCGCTCTTCTGGGCCCCCTTCTCCGAGCTCAAGGGCCGCCGCCCGCCCCTCCTCATCGCCATATTCGGCTTCACCGTCTTTCAATTCGCCGGCGGCGCCTCCAAGGACCTGCAGACACTCCTCCTCTGCCGCTTCTTCGGCGGCTTCTTCGGCGCCTGCCCGCTCGCCGTCGTCGCCGCCGTGTTCTCCGACATGTTCCACTTCTCCGTCCGCGGCCTGGTCATCACCATCTTCTCCATGTTGATCTTCTCAGGCCCGCTGCTGGCCCCCATCGTCGGCGGCTTCATCGTCAGCAGCCCCCTGGGCTGGCGCTGGACGCAGCACCTCCCCGCAATCATGGGCACCTCCGCCCTGTGCCTCAACGCCCTCTTCCTGCACGAGACGTACCCGCCCATCATCCTCGTGGAGAAAGCCGCCGAGCTCCGCCGCCTCACGCGCAACTGGGGCATCCACGCGAAGCAGGAGGAGATCGAAATCGACCTCCGCGAACTCATCGAGAAGAACTTCAGCCGGCCGCTCACCATCCTCGTCACCGAACCCATCATGTTCCTCCTCAGCACGTATCTGGCCTTCATCTTCGGCATCATCTACCTCTTCATGACGGCCTACCCGATCGTCTTCCAGCGCATCCACGGCTTCGTTCCGGGCATTGCCGGCCTGCCGCTCTTCGGCGTCATCGCCGGCCAAGTCCTCGCCGGCGCCTCCATCATCCTGTCGCAGTCGTGGTATCTGCGCAAGCTGGAGGCGAATGGCGGCATACCCGTCCCCGAATGGCGGCTGCCGCATTTGATTGTCGGCGCCATATCGTTCGCCGGCGGCTTGTTCTGGTTCGGCTGGTCCGGGTACAGAGTCGACGTGCACTGGGTTGTACCCACGCTGTCAGGCCTGATGTCCGGCTTTGGCCTGCTGGTCATCTTCGTGCAGTCCCTGAATTATATCATTGATGCGTATCTGCTTTTGTATGTTTCTTTTCTTTCTTTCTCTTTCTTTCTTAAACTAACTCCACCTCCAGCGCCGCCTCCGCCATCGCCGCAAACACCCTTCTCCGCTCCATCGCAGGAGCCGCTTTCCCCCTCTTCTCTGAGCGCATGGTATGTATCATCCCATTTCCTTTCCAAAAGATGAAAAACCCAATATCTAACGCCGCGCAGTTTGCGTCTCTGGGTGTAAACTGGGCCATCACGCTCCTGGGCTGTATCGCCGTCATTCTAGTGCCCATCCCAGTCATCTTCTACCTCTACGGCGCCAGCATTCGAGCGCGGAGCAAGTTCTTGGAAAAGCATATCGTGGTTGATGAGTGAGGACTGATCCGATTGATCCCAGCCATATTTGTGCCGAACCGAAGGTCCTGGAATTATTCCCCCCCCCCCTTTCTATTTTATTTTATTTTATTTTCCACCTCTTGTCGAGACTAGAAGAAAAACGAAAAAGAAAAGTGATCTTCAAGAAGTGCCCTCGTCACGGATCTATGAATGCGTCAACGACCTGCCGAATTTTCTCTCTTCATCTTGTTCTTTTCTGTTGTTTTTATAGCGTGTTTTGTTTTATAATATATAATTGTTTGTATTTTTATTTTTCTTGTATACCATTTGGGATGCCATCGGATTGGGGAGGGGGGAGGTGCTATGGGTTTAAATATGGTGAGGATCAACTTCCCCTCCCTTTGAAATACTGATAACTGCCTCTCCTCACTTAACCACCCCCCCCCTCCCCTCACCGCGCCATTTCTCTATGTTTCTCCTGCTGCATATACCAATATACATAATGTTGCATATTGCACATTTCAAATGAGAGCTATGCCTTTTTTTTCCCTTCCCAGTTCGTTTCATTCATGTACAGCCTCAAATACCCCCCGCCACCACCGCGGCATTTTACTTGCGCATACATTCATTCATACATCAGTGTTTGTATTTATTATTTATTTGTTTATTTATTTATTTATTTTGCCGGCATGTAGAATAGGTAGAAACTCTCCCACACTTCCTCTCTCCATGTTAAAATAACAATTAACGATAACAGATTAGATACACGATTGAGAAAAGATACGAATCTAATTCGCTCTAAGACATTGTCGCTTTCCTTTCCTTCCCCTCACCAAACAGCTACGAATGGGATAGATAATAGATAATATTATACAAATACACAAGCAAGGGGGGGGGGGGCAGGCCGTGAACACCAGGAACTATCAACATTAAAACCAAACAGAAAAATAATAAATAAATAAAATAAAATAATAAATACGGAACGCATCAACGTAAACACCCAACATCAATGACTAGGCATCTATTAACCACCACCCACCCCCCCACCGCCTCCTCCGCCGCCTCCTCCTCCTAAACCGCTCAACACTCTCCCCAACACCCCACCCCTCAACCAACAGCCCCCTCACATCCTCCAACCCCAACCCACTCATCTCGGGATATATCGCCCAAATAACCACCCATCCCACCGCGCAGACAGCCGCGTACAAAACAAACGTCCACCCAGGCGATATCCACTCCATTACCGGCAAAAACGTCAGCCCGACAACAAAATTGGAAGCCCAGTTGATCCCGGTGGCGAGCGCCGAGCCGAGCGAGCGCACGCTTAGCGGGAAGAGTTCGGACTGCTGCCAGGGGATCGTGCCGATGCCGGAGGCGTACGCGGCGGTGAAGACGCTGAGGGCGGTGAGGATTAGGAGCGGGGAGAGGGCTGCCAGTGCTGAGTCGGGCTGCTGGTGTTCTTGGGGTGGGTTGTTGGGTGATGGGGAGTCGAAGGTGAAGAAGGCGAGTGCGCAGAGGAGGAGGGCGGTGGTCATGATTGGGATTGAGAAGAGGAGGATGCGGCGGCGGCCGATGCGGTCGATGAGCGAGAAGGCGAGAAGGGTGAAGAGGAAGTTTGTCACGGCGACGGAGAGGGAGGTCAGCGTTGGCGAGGAGAAGGCTAGGAGAGAGAAGATGGTTGCGCTGAAGTACATGAGTGAGTTGAAGCCGCAGAGCTGCTGGAGGGCCTGGAGCATGCAGGCGATCGTCAGCGCGCGGCGGTTGCCGTCGATCTGGAATAGAGCGGCCCAGCCGCGTGGGAGGTGGAGCCATGCGTGCGATGACGTCTCTTGGCTTGAGGGCTTTAGGAGTTCGTCCAATTCGTCTTCTTCTGCGTGGAGTTCCCGTTCGATCTCCTGGACGAGTTGGTCGGGGATTCGTGGGTTGGATGGGCCGTAGATTCTGTGAATGACGCGTCGGGCTTCGGGCTGCTTGTTTGCCCGGACAAGCCAGCGGGGGGTTTCGGGGAAAAAGAGAACGATGACTAGCTGGATTATGCTAGGGAGAGCTCCGAGGCCGACCATCCATCTCCAGCCGGCGTGGGTGGTCGAGAGGAGCCAGCCGATGGTGTATGCAACGACCTGGCCTCCAGTCACAAAGAGGCTTAAGATGGTTACCATTCTACCTCGCATGTCGGGAGGAGAGAGTTCAGATATATACCTGTTGCGCATAGTCAGTAGCTGTGGATGTAATAACGGGCAAGGTGAATGAGAGGAGAGCAAATCGCTGCCCCCTCCCCCTCCCCCCCCCTCTTCTCAGTTTAACATACAGCGGGGTAACCAGACTAGCCGCCCCAACACCCAAACCAATCAGGCTTCTGCCCAATATCATGGTCCAGACATTCGAGGATACGGCTTGCAACACCCCTCCAGAAATGAACAGGAGATCAGCAATGAGGATGACGGGCTTGCGACCGAGCTTGTCGCCCAGGACACCTGCGAACGGGCTGACGATCAGCGCAAATAAACTGGTGCACGCTGTGATCAAACTCTTGTCGCGCGTGCTGAGCATACGGCCCGAAAGGTCTGTCCCTATGGACACTAGGGTCGAGGAGATGACTCCGGTACTGTTATGATTGGAAAAGAGAGAATACTTAACGATCAGGAAGTCCATAGATATACAGCTTCACACAAAAATAAAATTGGAGGCTCCATCTATTCAGAGAATATCTGGAGAGGGGGGTCGAGAACGAAAAGGGAAGCCTTACTCATAGCCGAAAAGAAAGCCGCTGATACCGGCTGAACAGGTTAGAGCCCATATGAACGAGCTTCCAGACTCTGCTGCTGCAGCCCCTGGCGATGTCCCTAGCGATCCCCTACTAACCTGGTTATCACTGCGGACATCCTCTGCTCCAAATTGGTCGGAGTATCTGGGCGGCGGAGAGCAAGGGGTGGTGGCATTCTGAGCTAGTAGGGGAGCTTCGGGATCGTTAGTTGCAGAGGCGCTCATGTCGTGCAGCTCCAGATCCTCCTGGATGGCGGTCTCAGTGGCGTCTGCTCTTGCTTGGGGGGGACGGCCAGAGGGCATATGGCGAGTATCATGATGGGGCCCGCCGGGGTTGAGTATCTTAAAAAGATGGAGTTGAAGTGGGGAACGGCACAGAAGAAGAGGCTGACGTAACTAGCCAGCTGCTACGGCGGACAGGAGAGGCCAATGTGGCAATACCGCACTGACCGACGGTAATTAAATTACCCAGTGTGGCCTGCAACCGACGGTAATTCCGTATTAGCCGTTGGAGAGACGGCTTTTGTTTCTTCTTCTCTCTTTCGTCTTCGCCCCTGTCTATGTCTGATGCGTTCTGTGGCAGGCAGAGGTCCTGTATATGCTTATGTCTGTCTGCTATAGTTTAATGCTACCAAGGTATGTAGATAGGAATGCCGTTAAACACCTCTAATGCGCAGCCACCACCCCGGCCGCATTGGCCTGCTCCGTAATCCTCTTCTTATACGCCTTGACATCCCCAGGGAACTTCTCCACAGTCCCGTTATCACAAACCCACAGACTCGTGCACACGTTTTGCAACATCGTCACGTCGTGGGACACCATCAGCACCCCGCCCTGGAAACTCCTCAACGCCTCCGACAACGCGTCCATGGCTTCGATATCGAGGTGGTTGGACGGCTCGTCGAGGACGAGGATGTGCGGGTTTGTCAGAGAGATGCACGCGAAGGCAACACGGGATTTTTGGCCTCCTGACAAAAGGCCCAATTTCTGGAGACCGGTCATGCCGGTGATGCCGAAACTGCAGATATTGAAATGGTTTTAATGGGAATATTTCAGGTAATAATGATCTTTGATCTAGAGGGGAAAAGATAATAAAAAGGGTTGGCTACTTACGCTCCAAGGTGACGCCGGTATTCTTCCTCGGTCCGTCCGGGGTAATTCTTCGCCATGAATCCAACAGCGCTAGTATTCATATCCAGCGCATCCACATGATGCTGAGCAAAGAACCCAATCCGCAGTCGTGGATGTTGCGAGATGACTCCCGACATCGGCGAGAGCGCGCCAATCAGCAATTTCAGAACGGTGGTTTTACCAGCACCGTTGGGCCCAACAATACCGATCCGGGAATCTAGCTGGACGTCCAAGTCGACATTCCTCAAAAGGATTTTGTCTTTCGTGTACCCGAAACAGACCTCTGACATCTGCACTATGGGTGGAGACAGCTTTTCGACGTCTGGGAATTTGAAGTGGACAACATATTCGTTCTCGGGAGGTTCCAGGACCGGCATGCGCTCGAGCTTCTTGATTCTCGATTGCGCCTCGGAGGACTTAGCGGCGTTGTAACGGAATTTATCAATAAAGACTGTATACATAAAGTGAGTCAGTTTTAAAATCCTCCATGCTGCAGGAACGAATATATCAATAGGGGCGGGTTCTTTCACTACGAACGTTGCAGATGGGCCCGTTGAGCCATTTGATTCTCATATTCTCGTTTGGCAGTCTTTCGTCGCTCTTCCTTTGTAGCATAGAAGGATTCTGTTAAAAAAAAAAAAAAAAAAAAAAAAAAAAAAGGTTAGCGTTTCCCATCGCTCTATCATGGGAACAAGTACATACCGAAATTAGCTCCTCTGTAGTAATCCAACCGTTCGGCATGTTGGTGGATAATATCGGTCGCAACCTCATTGAGGAATGCTCGATCGTGAGAAACAACCAAAACAGTGCTTGGATAGGTTTGAAGATAATTGGCCAAGAAGGTTATGGACGGCACGTCCAACATGTTAGACGGTTCTGCAGGTCATCTTCCAATCAGCTTTGCTTGCGAAATGTAAAGGGTTGTGGCTCTAAGTTTCAGCGGGGACTCGGGTAAGAACGAACCGTCAAGCAACAAAAGATCGGGCTCACAGAAAAGAGCACGGGCAAGGGCAAGACGCATACGCCAACCTCCAGAGAAGGTCTTTGTGGCAAACTGCTGTCGCTCTGGGGAGAAGCCCAACCCAGCGAGGATACTTGCAGCACGGGGCTCCGCTTTGTCCGATTCCATTTCTGCGAGCTTGGAG